ACTATAACTTAGTATGTTCTGCATTGAGATTCTAAAAACTATGGAGGGAAGGGAAAATATCTAAAAAACAATAAGGGAAATTTATTATTTAGCTCCTTTCAGGTTTATAAAATAACCAACTAATCCAAGGTGTTGCCAAAATATTCTCACGCCTCAGTTACTTCAGGTTTAACCTCCGTCTAAACTTACAATAGTTCATTACAACGACTCACCGAAATAGTCCCTTGAATTTTTTTTTTCTCTTGTTTGATTTGTATAGACTTTCATAAATCAATTAAAGCACTCAAAATACGCTCCTCTAGCTGACAGCTGTTCTCAACGATAAAGGGTAGAAATAATAACAAACATATAATATCTAGCTCCGCCTTCCACAGAGATCTATTCTTTAATAATACTCACCAAATATAAAGATCTTCAAGGCGTAAGTTTCTAAGTAGTCCTATGTGGCAGGTTATAACCATACCAAACATCAGAATATGAATTCAGTAGCGCTAAGGAATTTCAGATATATATTATCATCTTCAGATTTATAAATATGTCCGTCGGTAATGAGAAGGAATTAAAGAGAAATTTCGGACTATTGTCCGTAGCTTCCGAAGAAGTTAGATTTTTTTGCAATCAGTTAATTGAAAACTAAAAGATCTAACAAACACCTCGTCCCTTATCCTTGACAGGTTCACATGCGTCATCAACCTAGTATGAAGCGCTGTTTCATTTTACATATATTTAGAGAAAGTATTAAAAAATTCACCATTTAGCAAACAAAGTTGTGGAAATAAACGTTTACTCACTAAAATTAGACAAAAGAGGGGAGTGGCCAACTGCTCCGTATGCCAAATTGTTGAATAAATTCCTAACACTATATCATAGCTGGGAAACGGTACATTTTTTAGAAAATTTAATAACCCTAGTTTCATCGCTTCACTAGGTACTCTATAACTCTGTGTGAATTTGGAAAAACAGATGCACCAACTCGCAATGTCTAAGATCCAACAGATACAGTATCCTCATCGCGGAAGCTACCTACTTGCCAAATCGTTTATAGCATCCCCTGCTTATTCAAAGTTGCCTTATGAAATATACTTATACAATGGCAGTAAGACCAGAGTAAGACGGGAGAAAAAAAAATTTACTTAGCATATGAAGTGGCTCTCTTTGTTGTGACTATAAAAATTTAAAATGGGAAAATGAAGAGTTTCATTATTAAAAGTTCGGCATGAGACAATAATCAGATATTTATTCTACTCTTAAAAGTACGGGTTAAGCTTTTAGATATGAAATATTTGCAAATCGAAAACCAAAGTAAACTATAATTTGCTAGAGCTACAATAACAGATTTCTAATAGGAAAACTAAAGGAGTAACTTTAATGCTGAAGAAACTATCGAAGTATAGTGAGTTTTAATATTGTAAGTTAACAGTGTCAAATATATGTCACCTGGTCTGCTCACGCATATTTGTTACTAAGGATGACCGATCCGCTAGCAAATTTTTTCATGCGAGTCTTTTATAAAATATCTATGTCTGATAGCTTAGATATACTAGATTATGTGATTAAAATGTTTATATAGAGAGAATTTGCTCTGAATAATAGTATATAAGTTATATTTTGCTCACCTGAATCATATATAACCCAGGAGGGGTTTGGCTCTCAGATTTTATGTGCAAGAGAAAAGATAATGGAAGCATTACTTGATCTGAATTAACAAATAATATTTAGTTTTTGGCTTGACTCTTAATAGTACATGAGTTTGTAGTAACGAATCAAATGCTCTCGTGTTGACAACCAATCGTTTAGGGAAATGAGAAAATCATCTCCTTTATCAGAAAAAGCTTCCAGCAGTAGATGGCTTCTTCAGATTTAAAAGCCCACTTATACAGATTATGTGAGTTGATGTTCCTGAGTGGTCTAGAAGAATTGACCCGCTTTCCTCCACGCCCTTAGTTGGGCGTCCATGATGAATTTACCTGCTCACAAAAAAAACTACTTCTTAGTGTGCTTTCTATATCGCAATAGTCACAAAATAATGGGTCATCTTAATCTGTAAGAACACTGCTTCTTAATGCAGCCTCACTATTTCTCTTGCAAGAATTAGCAATCAACCTTGCTTTATTGATGGATTCTTTGCAGCCTGGATATATTCTCTTGCAGAATTAGCAATCAACCTTGCTTTATTGATGGTAGATCTATGAACCATAGCGTTCCTCCTAGTCTCCTATTGTTGTGCAAATGAGTAAGCTTGTCGTAAGGATGGAAAAGGATCTCGTCCAAGAACTTGGACTTGAATCTGATCATACTTGTTATTTAGGCCAGCCAGAAAATCATACACACGTTCTACTTCAGTCAACTTCTGAACTTGAGTCGCATCATTGGTACATCTTGCTTGAAAGTCTTGATAATAATCCAGTTCCTGCCATAACCCACTAAGTTCAGCAAAATACTAAGTGATAGTCAGATCTCTTTGCTTGGTTTCATGAACTTTTTGTTGCAATTCATACTTCTGAGCATAGTTTCCAGTTTGTGAATACGTCTATGAAGCAGCATCCCATATCTTCTTAGTTGTATCAAGAAGCAATATCCTCGGGAAATAGTTGACTGGATGGCATTTATTAATCAAGACATAATAAGAGAATTCTCGGATTTCCACTTGTTAAAGGCCGGATCTATCGAAATTGGTTTAGTTGCTCCACTATCAAGGTATCCCTGCAAACCTCTAGCTTCAATGAATAATAAACAAGACTGAGACCAAGTCAGGTAGTTTGTTCCATCTAACTTCACCGGACTAATCTAGTTTTGTTCCATCAACTACACCGGAACTAATCTGAAGTGAGGTGGTTGGTGAAAACCTCTAGCTTCAATGAATAATAAACAAGACTGAGACCAAGTCAGGTAGTTTGTTCCATCTAACTTCACCGGACTAATCTGAAGTGAGGGGTTGTGAAAAACCATATCTATCTTCTTTCCGTCAACCATATCTTAAAAAAAAGAAAAAAACAAAATTTAAACGGCAGCAACGGTAAAAGGCAGCAGTAGGGGTGGAAAGAGAAAAAATTCCAAAAAGGCAAAACTGGTGCTCAAGAACCAGTAGGTTTGAGTCGCCACACCGAGTTGAGGTCGCCGGAACAAGAATCATCAACGGAGCTCGCCGGAAACAGCCGCATGTGCTGGCGCGTGAAGAACAATCAGAATCTTCTGGAGGCGCGTGTGCACACGCGCGTGGTCGGATGGCGACGCGGTTTGGACAGAGTGCCGATCGGCGGTTGTTCTCCCTTCTGAAATGTGCGGTGACGACCAACTACCACTTCTGGCGGTGCTGTGTGTGTCTCAGACTACTTTGCAAACGGAAACCGTTGCCGAAAAATTCACGGCAATGGCTCTGATACCATGTAGAAATTAAAGGAAAGAATATGTTTTATTTCTTTCAATTGTATTATATTTTTCAATCACAATACTCAGCTCAATGGTTCCTCCTGATATCATGTGGTAGAAATTAAAGTAGAAAGCATACCTATAAGTTTATATTTCCTTTATCAAATTAGTTGTATCTTATTATTTTGACCTCTATTCTCAGCAAAAACATTATATATATACACAAAAAATATGTAGTCTACTAATAGGAAGTATTCAAAATAAGGATAATAAACCATTTAAATTAGTGAATCACATAATCTTGTACACTAATTAAGAATTAAATACTCTAAACATTAAGTGGTGAAAACAATATGAATTTTAACTTTCTCAACATGAATTTAAGACAAAATTGTGGTCTATCAAGAAATGGTATTTAAGAGTGGTAAACAGTTTTATTTTAAAATGTGCCATAATGCACAAAAATTATCTTGAAATGTGAATCAGTGAATTGAATATATTGTATTAGAGAACCGGATAATTATAGGGATCATTAGAATCTATACTCATAACGCAGTATTCTTCAATAAATTTAAAAAATAAGCAGATTATAATTCTGAGCTGAAATGTGCTTACCTTGTATAAATAATCATAAGTGATTTCCTCTCTTATCTTTCATTGCTTTCATTGTCATATATTTTGTCTTCTGCTATGTTTTTGTTTCATGATTGTCGAGTAGAATAGTATAGTACTTTGCTCATAATCACCACATTTTTCTTCCCACACCCTAGTGCTCTTGATGTTATTCAAGGTACAGTGTGATAAGTGTAGAAATTAAAGGAAAGAATATGTTTTATTTCTTTCAATTGTATTATATTTTTCAACCTCTACTCCACTATATATATACAAAAAATTGTTCTACTATAGGAAGTAATCAAAATAGGAATAAACCTAAACTAGGAAACACAATCTTTACACTAATTAAGAATAAACCTAAACTAGGAAACACAATATTTACTTTCAACATGAATTTAAGACAAATTTGGGGTATTTAGAGGATAAAGGTTATTTTAAAGCAAAATTGAAACTACTTGAAAAGTTCAGAGTGAAAAATATTGTTTAGCCGGATATTATGGGGTCTAGAAATCTCTGCTCTACGGTTTCTTCAATAATTAAAATATGAGATTCTTGATTTGGCTGATGCTTGACCTTGGATAAATGATCAAGTGATTCCTGTTTCTATTCTTTCATTGTTTCATTGTTATATTTTGTTTCTGCTATTGTTTTTGTCATGCTGGGAGTAGAAAGTAGTCTTTGCATAATCAAAATCAGTGCTCTTGATTATTATTCAAGTTACAGGGATAAGGAGAATATATATATTTTTTTTTCCTAATTTGATTTGGGATTCTTATTGAGAGTTGGGAGGTCTCTAACTCTCAAATTTTGAGATATTACTTTATATGCACAAGTTTACGATATCATTATGATTTTGACGGCCATCACATGTTTTGTACATCTAAGTTCACTGTATGCTGAGCTATGGACTTCAATGACACGTGTTTGGCGATTGTAGTTGTCTCATAACAAACATAGTAGTCAGGCACTAGAATGTTTAGCCTACAACTATAATCCAGAGAGCAGAAACTAATCTTATGATTCACTAAACTTTCTTTTCTGCTACTTGTGAAAATAAGATGGTATTTTTTCTGTTTTGCTTTACAGTGGAGGTACAATTGCTGGTCTGTCGCTGGGATCATGGTTGGGTACTTTCAAGGCAAAAGTATGTCTTTAGATTCTCAGTTTGTCTCTTACTTCTCAATTTGACTCTACTTGCATTTTCCTATTTGTAGGTTCATGCGTTCTCTGTTTGTGATGACCCTGATTACTTTTACAACTTTGTTCAATCACTAATTGATGGACTCGGAGCAGGTGTTAACTCACATGAGATTGTAAACATTCAAAATGTGAGTGCTGACATTACTAATGAGTGCTTTCCTTTTTTTTTTTTTTCGTTCATTCTTCCCCCTCTCTTCGCAACATAAATTATTCGTCAAAAAATATGATAATGTTGGTTTAAGCCTATATGTTGCATTGCATATACATTTATATGCTCTATGGAGACTGCAACTAGAAAATGCAAATTTCTAAAGATAGCATAATAGAGAAGATGAAGATATCTATGACTGATATAGCTCACAAGACGGTTTTGGTTATGTTAAAAATTTGATCGAGTTTTGATTCTTGTAGAACTATATATGAACATGTTGACCTCATACTTTTGACTAGAAGTTCTAGGTGGTGTTCATTTGTGGAAAACTATTTTTCTGTTTTCCATTTTCCATGGAAGTGGAAAAGTGAATTAGAGAAAATGGAGATTAGATTAATTTGAAATAATTAGAAAGTTATTTACTAATTTTAGAAAACAAAATATGTGTTCAAATTACAATTTGTTTCTGTATTTTTATTTTATGTTTTCTATATGATTTATTATTTATATTTTTTGCATTTTTCATTTTTTATCTTAAATTTTTAATTTTAGTTCTTCAAATTTATATTATTATATGATTATATTTTTTCAAATTTATATGATTATATGATTATAATATTCCAAATTTATATGATCATACGATTGTATGGTTTGGGTACTAAGTAAATTATCCATTTTTAAAAAAGGAAACATGATAAATAATGTGGAACAAAAAAAAAATGGATATAAAGCCTATATATATGGGAAAAAGGGAGTATTATTCTAAAATAGTTGCCTTGTGTTATGAAGAAAATCTATTTGTATTTAATAGGGCTGTGCGAATTCGGTTTCGGTACGATTCTTAAGAAGAATCAGAACCGGACCAAAAATTCGGTGCTTTCATTTTTAAGAATAGAAATCGGAACCGAAGGACTTAAGTATCGGAATTGAACCGAACCAAAATTTTGGTACGGGTTCAGTACGGTTTTTCGGTTCCAGTTCTTTGGTTCTGGTTCTAATTTTAGTTCTCCCATTAAAAATTATTATATTTTTAAAACACATTTTAAAGTTCCTTTATATTAAAATATTCTAATATCAAAACAAAATATACAATATATGCTAATTGAAAAAAAAGAATCATATTGTACGAGTATATACATTAAAAAATAATGAAGTTTTATTTTTATTCATTGTAAAAAGAAGCTCCCATCATCTTTCAAGTTCTAAGTAATCTCCAAAGTAATAACATGAACATTACAAATATCATCAAATCATAACTAATAATTGAATAACGAAGTTTTATTTCTATTGTCAACAAAAAGAATTTAAGTTCCATAAAATCTCCAAACTGATAGTACCTTCAATGTCACACGATAAATTTGTTAGTAAAGTAAGACTGTTTAAAGATTATTAAAATAATCTAAAAAACAATTTTTATTTAAATTATAGATATAGTAAAATAATATATGAACATTTATGAATTATGATATTGTTAAAATATTATATACAATACGAGATGACAGGAATCGTTAGATATTAAATTTTTACGCGGGATAAATAATTTTAATTTATACTCCATTTGTATTATTAATTAAAGAGTATCAACTAATAAAGATTTTGTTTTCAAATAATAAAATTTAAGGTCTTTATAAATAACAAATTTACTGAAACATTAAAGAAAAAATATATGGACAAATCGGTTTTTCGGTTCGGTTCGGTCATGTTCGGTTTTGGTATGGTTCCGGTACAGTTCTTTATAAGAATCGGAACCAGAACCAAAATAATAAATTGCATTCGGTATGGTTTGGTTCCTACTATCTCGGTTCTTTTTCGGTTACGGTTCGGTTCAGATCCCCCAAGAACCATGCACAGCCCTAGTATTTAATGTGTTTCATCAAAGAATTAACATAGGTCTATATACAAGAAACTCCTACACTATTTAGGAATATAAAACACGAGCTAATTATGAATATCCTTAAGATCTTGCTATATGATTACTCTATATTGATTTTCCTTAGCACTTCCCCTCAAGTTGGATCATAAACATTAATCATGCCCAACTTGTTACTGATATAATCAACACGATTCACATTCAAAGCTTTTGTGAGAATATCACCCAACTGCTCTCCAGTTTTAACGTAACCTGTAGAGATAAACTTTTCTTGAACTTTGTCACGAACAAAATGACAATCAATCTCAATATACTTGGTGCATTCATGAAGTATTGGGTTAGAAGCAATATGGAGTGTAGCTTGATTATCGCACAATAATTTTGCTGGTAATGCGGACTCAAGACCAACTTCATTCAACAATTGATATACTCATACTGCTTCACACAGATTGTGCCATGATTCTGCATTATGATTCTATACTGGATCGGAAACTACATTTTATTTCTTGCTTCTTCATGAAACCAAATTCCCTTTAACAAAGACACAATACCCAATCTTAGATCTTCTATGAACCTTAGGTCCTGCCCAATCTGCATCTGACTAACACTCAATATTAGAATGTCCATGATTTGAATATAACAAACCTCGTCTTGGAGCTCCCTTTAAATAACGTAAGATCTGTTCTAAGGCTAGCCAATGATTTACTGGAGTAGACATGAACTGACTTACAACCTTACTGAATAAGCAATGTCTGGACGAGTAACTGTAAGATAGTTCAACTTTCCAACCAGTCTTTTATACTTCTCTGGATCTTCAAGCAATTCAGCTATGGATGCTGCAACCATTTGGGACAGGTGGTTCCATCACAAGAGCTGGATTTGATTCTCTGCATTCTAATGCAGCCATCCCCATGCTAATATGTGGTCCGCCTTCTAGAATAAACCTTTAGAGGCTTTGGACTGGGATCCACTAAACTTGTCTCCGTAAAAAAATTAAATGCTATTATTTTTTATGCTTGTTGTGAATTTTAGTGCCTAGTATCGAGGACGAGGATTGGACTTATTGAGGAAAAGGATGAGTTGTAGAAACTCCAAACAAATTGCTTTTTAACAATAGTAGCTTATGTTTGTCTCCTGTCATCATCAAAATGGGAAGTAATTTTGAATCACCATTATCGGTTAGGTCATCCATATTTTTTAACTCTCAGAGTCATGTTCCCATCTTTATTCAAAGGATTGGATGTAAAGACTTTCCATTGTGATGTGTGTGAATTAGCAACACATACTCGTGTATCTTTTCCTACTATTGATAAGAGAACTTCTAGTCCTTTTTGATCTCAATTCATAGTGATATTTGGGATTCCTCTCCTGTTCCTAATATATCTGGTTCTAGGTGGTTTTTATCCTTCTCAGATGATTGCACCAGAGTTACTTGGATATTCCTATTAAAAAATTAATCTGATGTGATCCGCATTATGCCTAGTTTTCATTCTATGATACAAAATCAGTTTGGTGCAAAAATTAAGAGGTTTCGATGTGATAATGCAAGGGATTTATTTTTAACCAAACTATATCTGCATTTTTGCAAAAAGGAGGCATTATTCATGAATCCCCCTGCATTAACACTCCACAACAAAACGAGTTAGCTGAAAGAAAAAAACGGACACCTCTTAAACACTAGTAGAGCTCTCTTTCATCTTCATCAAATTGTACAAAAAACTTATTGGGGGAAACTGCTCTCATATCCGCATATATGATAAATAGTTTGCCATCACAGGTCTTAGATTTGAAATGTCCAATGGAATCCTTTCTAGGTTCTATCCTGATCTAAGAGCCACAAACAATCTTTCTCCTGGAATATTGGGTTCTACTGCATATGTGCACATTCAATCACAAAGGCGTAAACTTGAGCCTAGAGCACTCAAATACATTGTTATAGGATATTCATCAACTAAGCAAGCGTAAAAACGCTACCGTCCGCCTTCAAGGAAATTTCATGTTTTTGCAGATGTAACCTTTGCTGAGGGGACACCATTTTACACACCTTATCTTCAGGGGGAGTCTATAAATGAAAAAGAAACTAGTATCTTATTTGTTTTTAATTTGTGTCTGTCTCCTTCCAGTCTACCAACGTCACCTACACCTAAGCCTATTTCAGAAAATTTGGAAAAGAAATGCATTAGTTAGTGATCCTAATCTAGTACCACAACCTGAGTCCATAGTGAATGATGAAACAACTACAAGAGCTACTATTGATTAAAAGCGATTTGGTTTGAAGTACTCAAAGAAGCAAGCTGGTGTTCCTAATCCAATGGAGGTACAAAAATCCACTCCAATCTTGAGAAATCTGAAAATTCTGAACCTACTCACGCAGAAAAAGATGCAGAACCTGAGAATTTTAGACCTACTAAACCTATAAAAAGCTGCAGAACCAGAAAGTCACAATAGTGACCTTCCCATTGCATTGAGGGAAGGAGCTCGAGAATGTACCAAGCAAAATTTTGTGTCCTTTTCCTTAGATTTTTACCATCCCATAAGACCGTCCTTACCAACCTAAATAACATCTCAATACCCAATACTATGTTTTTGGCATTGTCTAATGAAGAATGGAGGAAAGGTATGAGAGTTGAAATGGATGCACTAGAAAAAAAAACCAAACTTGGGAACTAGTTGAATAGGTGTTCACTTTTGAAATATAAGGCTGATGGGACCTTGAGAAGATATAAGGCGAGATTAGTGGCCAAACAATACACTCAAACCTATAGTAGACTATTAAGAGACCTTTGCCCCGTTGCAAAATGAAGACGGTAAGGGATTTTCAACAATTTGATGTTAAAAATGCATTCTTGCATGGTGACTTAGAAGAAGAAATATACATGGATATTCCTCCTGGTTTTAATGAAAATATGACAGGTAATAATGCGTGTAAATTGAAGAAAGCTTTCTATGGTCTTAAGCAATCACCTCAAACTTGGTTTGGTAGAGCTAAAATAATGCTTACTATTGGGCATAAACAAAGAGTGGGCTGTTAGAGTGAAGATCAGCAAGAAAAAAAAAAATAAGACAGTAAGCTTAATAGGAACAGAAAACTGAGATTTGGG